CTCAATGTAGCTCAATCAGTCTCCCATGGAATACTCACCAAAAAAAGTATGATTTAGGTATTATTTCCCCCACTTTCAAGATATGAACTCAGTGTCACAAAACTAATTATTTTCCCAAAATCCCTGGAGCAGTAAATGGCAATGCTGGAATCTGATGGCAGATTCTCTGGTCCCAAAGTCCAGGTTCTTATCTTAGCATTGCATCACAGAATTTGAGGTTTGGGGTAAGTGATTACCTTGTACAAGCATTCTAGGTAGGGTAAGTAGAGATTTATCAGTACATTCATTTTTAGGGAGTTATGTGAAGCAACTGAAATGCACTTAGCTACTCGCATCAAGGGTTTACTATGTGACAGGCACTGCACTAAGCACTTTCATTCAATGGGTTTTTAATCCTTTTTCTGTTGATTCTTTCTCTTTTTTTGTTAACCCTTTTTCATTTTAAGAATTAGAAAATTATTACAATGAACTTATGTGGTTGGTACTAACAGTCCAATTTATAGATAAGAAAACTGAGCCACAGAGAGGAAGGTGGTGTGCCCAAGGCCCCCAAGTGAACAACTGGCAGAGTCAGCCCTGGACCTGAGTCTGACTCCAGAGTAGTCCATACTCTTCAACCCACCATTGTCTTTGAGCATGACTAATAAATTGCCTAATTTCCCGTTTGTAGCTGGAAGGGGCTAGGTCAGCTAGGGACCTGGGGCAGGAGATAAATGAGGTGTGCTCTCTTGTATGGCCTTGTGAATGACACCGAGACCTGTGGGTCCTTTATAAAGTCCAGTGTTATGGTCTCCAGAGATCCTACTGTCAGTGGCCTTTTAAGTCAACAAGATCTGCATCAGACTCACTGGAGAATTTTCTCCTTCCATGAAGAGCAAAGTCTGGTTCTCTGCCATCTGAGCTTGGCCAAGAGACTACTTTATCCAGTGGGACATCATCAAACACAATATACAGGCTGAAAAAGCACATATGCATTGGGACATGCTTTCTTGCTCTTCTTGGAACACTGAAATGACTATGTGAACAAACCAGAGCTAGCCAGCTGGCTGGTGAAGGCCACATGGAGAAGCAAGGCTCCTAAGCCAACCACATGCTTACTGCCAGTCATGTGAGTAGGGCCATCCTAGATCATCCAGCCACAGATATCCACAGACACAGGTGAGAACTCTTTAAATTTTGTGCCCAGGTTAAGTTCCTCATTTTATTCACCCTAGCCACAGCTCTCAGAGACAGTTCCTCTCTTTCCTCTTCTGAGAAGCTCTCAGGAGGCTGCGTATGTGTTCAGCATTATAAGTGATGGGTAACTATAATGGCTATATATAATGCTTGAAATGGTTCAATACAGCAGAATTGAGAGTTCCCAACCAGGGGCAAGACTAAAAACTAGAAGGATACCTGCAGGTAACCAGAAGTACCCGCCAGAAATTCTGCCATTGGAGGTCATCCCATGGTGGGTGCCCATATATATCTATTCCCATTGGCAGTGAATAATTGGGTCAGTAGTTGGGGGTTCACTGGGAGAGTGCCCAGTTCATAAAGTTCCTGGAGTGGACTAACAACCTATAGAAGACAGAGTTTTAATATCCAGCACATTTCCAAGTTCAGACTGGGCATGGACTAGCAGAGGGTAGAGAACAGAGCTGAGCATGTTCCTTTTTCACAGATGGAAGCTGCTTTACTGCCCCATGAGCCTGCCCACAGCTCCTTCAAGGCCACACAGGAGGAGGGCACTCTCCAAACCTGCATGAGCCTTAGAGGTAGCCAAAAAAGAGCCCAGCCAGGTTGGTGAGCAGCTGTGGACAGATCTTTAATCATGACTCTGACCATTGGCAGATGAACTGAGAAACCAATTCAGTTGCCTGCACTAATTCATCATCCTTGGTGTCAACAAACCTGGAACTGTGTCAAGAGACAGGATCATCCCAGGTAGGCTGCTAAATATCCCATGCATGCTAGCTGCAGGGGCTGCTTCCTGCTCTCCTCATGCCCAAGGCAAAGGATGGCTGCACAGCTCCATTCATACAAAAAAAAGGGTCTCCTACCATTTACAGAGCCTACAACTGCTAGGAAGGCCTGCCAGGTGGCAGGCAGAGAACCTGCTCATTCTTCAGACTTACTGAACAGACATCTGTCCTTACTACCTGTTCAATATGTAGTCATTGTTATTCATTGTCATTATCATAATCTTCACATATACAGCTCCTGCTAGGTACCAGACACTGTCCTGGGTGCTTTTATAGATATTTATACATTGAATACTCATAACAATGTTATGAGAGAGGAGCTGTTACTTTATACATTTTCAGCTGAGGAATCTAAGGTACAAAGAGATTCAAGTAATTTGCCAAAGGTCACACATATTTGAGCCTGAGAATGTTGGCTCCATGGTCTGTAATTTAATATTTTTCCTTAGTTTCCTTCTTAGGGACCATTTCTCCCCCACTCTCAAATTATGGGGTAGGTACGTGGGTCTTCCTTTGCAGGAGCAGATACATGGCCAGGTCTGGCCAATCACGTAACTATCCTTCGGGCCACATGTGACCCAGAGTCCAGTGGGACATTAGCTCTTCTCACTGGAGCTGCAGCCGTGATACCACATAAGACTAATTGTGCTGCAGCCATCATGCTCCATGGCAGAATCATCTTCCTGAAACTGGAACCAAGACTGAGCCAAGACATGGAGAAAGATTCCTGAGGACCCCACTTCTGCACCCTGATTTGGAGATCTGATCCTTTTCAGTTTCAGGGACCAGAATTTCCTTTTTCACATAAGCCAGCTAAAGCTGAGTTTTTCTCTTAGGCAACAGAAAAAGTCAACAAATATAGGGTGAGGCAAAGTAGGTTTACAATTGCTTATATGGAAAATCATATAATAATTAGTAAATAATAATACAAGAATGAACTGTTTCATGTACTCACAACAGTAAGCCTACTTTTGCCCACTCTGTACAGACAGGGTGTGGGAAACGCCATCCTCTTAGCTGCTCCTGAGGATCCAGCCTCCGTCTGCAAGGACATGCAGAGCCAGGTTGTCCCCCAAACTTCCCCACCTGTTTTCCTAGGGATGAGAGGAAGAATTGCACTAAAAGGGCCAGGGGAGTGTGACCTTGGGGGTCATGATAAACAGTCCTGTCTTCACCTCTGCAGATAGTCCAGTAAGGACTCTGCTGGTTCTGTGTGGCTTAGAGTGCTTAATCCCAAGTACCAGTTTCCAAGCACAGTAACTGTGGCATGAGCTCTAGGGTGTTCATGTTGCTGTGGCAACAGATATGCCCCTGACTTAGAGGGACATGGCAAATGACCATTTGTAAAAGGTCAGCAAGAGTCAAACTAATTCAATGACACAAGGTAGTCACCACTCTGAGGGCAGCTGTCAAGTCCAAGTGAGTAAGAATGGGGCCAATAATACTGGCCAAAATCCATGTAGAACATTCCAGGAAGATGAACCCAAACAGAAACAAAATATGAACTAGGGTGACAGCTGCACATAGGGTCCCTGAACATAGCTCATTACTGGGCAGTGGAAGAGGGTACATGGTGGAACGTCCTCTTAGGAAACTTTCAGCTGCATGGAAAAGAATACCCAAATAGTGACACCTGAAAAAGCCCTCTTCCCCCCTTCTCATCTCACACATTCTGGCACAACAGAACTTAAAGTAGGCTCAGCAGCTTCTTGGTGTCAACAGTGACTCAAGGTCTCTCAACTCTTCCACTCTGCCATGCTCAACATGTCTCCCTCACTGGCCCAAAAGGGCTGTTACAAGCACAAGCAGGACAAAGAAAGAGATGTATTATCAGAAAGGAAAGCCTTTCCTAAAAGCCGTACCCAAGCTTCTGCTCACATCTCACTGAGCAGAACTGGATCACATGCTCACTCACAGGCTATAAAGGAGCATGGGAAAGTAAGTTACCAGGCATTTTTAGCTTCTAGCTGAAAGAGAGCCTCTGCCAGAAAGAAGAGACTGAGGGCCAGGACTGGCTGTTGTGTAGATGATCAACAATGTTCCTCAAACTTCAGACAAAGTCATCCCAAGAGTTTTGCCATAACCTTGTAGTATCCATACCAGCATTCGCATAACAGTTTCCTTAAATATATGTATTTTTGGTTTACCTTAATTCTCTAAATACATTTACTTAGGTAGGAAATTTTATATCCTTACTATAAATGCAAAACCACTAGTAGACACATTTTTCCAATCCATGTTAAAATAAATTCATTATGACTATAATGAAAATTACCTCTCTGTTTTACCTAGAAGCTTCCCTTCTCCCATCCACAGTAGTCATACTGGGAGATGCAGAGTAACAGGACAAACTAATTTCTTCCTAACACTTGGGCCCTGGTATCAAGAATTCCCTACAGCCCTGGCTGGTGTGGCTCAATGGATTGAGTGCTGGCTTGCAAACCAAAGGGTCACCAGTTCGATTCCCAGTCAGGGCACATGCCTGAGTTGCAGGCCAGGTCCCCAGTGAGAGGCAACCACACATAGATATTTCTCTCCTCCTTTTTTCCTTCCCTTCTCTTCTCTCTAAAAATAAATAAATAAAATCACTAAAAAGAAAAAGAATTCCCTAACAAAGAGCTATAAAGTGCATGCATGGTAAGGCACTATTCTAACAACCTCTTCACAGTAGTGATAACAATTTAGCCTCTGACCATCACTCTCCATGTCTCAGCTTCAAGATGAGAAGACATTTATGGAACTTATATAATCTTATTAACCAATGTCACCCCAATAAATTTAATAAAAAATTTTTAAGACATTTAACAAAATCATAGTAGGAGAACCAGCTGGTTTCCCATACAATCACAGCTCCCCCCCAAATGTTTTGTTTTTTGGTTTTTCCATTAAAATGAAAAATGTCTCAGAGACTACAAGGACCACCATATGCCTTGGAATGGGACCACCCAAACTTCTTCATCTCAGGACCCTCACTCACATTTACCCAAAAGGATACATTGATTGTGGACAGAGGGATGACCAGTGTTCATTACTTACATCAGAGGCTGGACCCTTGTCAGCGCCTGGGCAGGAGAAAGTGACAAATTCATGGCAACGCTTGTGTACAACAAAACAGCAGACTGCAAAAGACAAAATAAAAGTAGGAGGAAGGGGAGAAGGAAAGTGTAGGGGAGGAAGAGAGAAAAGGGGAGAAAGAGATGATTAGAATCTGGACTTCACAACAAATAAAGGCTTTATACCAAAATAAACAATGCCTTCAGCTTCTACATGTGTCCTTTGTTAAAGTCAAATTCATGAGTATACAGTGTTATATCCTGCAAACTAGTTAAGTTTCTGAAGTAACTAGGGTTCAAAAGATCACATATATTCAAAATTACAGTCCCTTGAAGATCATTTAAGTTGCCCCGTTTTGGAACAGAATGTTGTTTCTTAGACTGGGCACCAGGTGAAGTAGTTGGCTTGTGATTAGGTTCAGAATGCATAAGAAATATGTTTATTCAAACACTAGAATCACAGTTTGAAAGATGTAGATAAAATTAAAGGCATGTAGAAACAGAATGAGCAGGAAAGACAGACCCATGCCCTCACCTTACACAAGAGCAATGTCCAGTAAGTGGAAGAATAAGCTACAGTTTTTATACGGTTACATTAGTAGTTTGAAACCAAATACATTCATACTTATACTGTATTTGAATTTGTTTGAGTTAAATGTATCTATGTATGGCTATACAGTTTGGGGATTGTTTCACTTGGGTAAAGGGACAGTCAGAGAATGTATACCAAAAAAAACCTGGGGTTTTTTTTTGTTCAAATCTTCTGTTATTGTTTTGTTGTCCAAATCACCTTAAACAAACTCTACAGTATGTGTTCCTGGAGAACAGGTGCCACACAGCAAAAACAGCATCTTTCTTTTCTTTTCATTTTATTTTTCAATAAGAGCTTACATTCAATATTATTTTGTATTTGTTTCAGGTGTATTGATGGTTGCCAGACAGGAGGGAGACTGGGGAACTAAGTGAAAATGGTGAAAAAATTAAGAAGTACAAATTGGTAGTTACAAAACAGTCATTGGGATGTAAAGTACAGCGTAGGAAATATAGTCAACAATATTGTAATAACTATATGTGGTGCCAGATAGGTACTAGAATTCTCAGGGAAACACTTTGTAAAGTATATGGCTGTCTAACCACTATACTGTAAACCTGAAACAGCATCTTTCTAAAGGCCACAGTAAAAGAAAACACTACAGGAACCCTTAAAGGGACCCCCCAGTGATATAACGGGTCTGGGCGGTAATCCTCAGTGGCTGTGGACATCACAAAAAAAGATACTACCTGCCTACTGGTGATAGTACTGTGAAGGACTCTACCACCTATCTAGTACTGTTGCCAAAATAATCAAACCTGGACCAAGTCAAGCACCTTGACCCAACTTCCAATTTACAGAAAGTGTAAATAACAGAAGCACATATTACATGATATAACAGTGAGGTGGTGGGGAAAAAATGCACAAGAACGTGGAAAACTACAAGATAACCAAATAGTTTCTTCAACAAATAAACTACAAGAGGACAGGAGAGATTTTTAGGGAATACATTTATAAAATGTACAAGACAAAGACTGAATCCTTGACATAAAGAATAGTTTTTAGTTAATAATAATGCCTCAATATTGACTGCCATGGGAATGGGGTTAAGAGAGTAATATTGGAACTCTATACTTTCTAATCATATTTTCTGCAAACCTAAAATTGCTCAAAAAAGAAAACAACAAAAAATAAAACAAAAATACTGCGGCTTCCAGTAAGATGGTAGTGTAGGTAAATGCAGTACTCACTTCCTCTCACAACCACATCAAAATTACAACTAAACTACAGAACAATCATAATTCAGAACTGCCTAAAATCTAGCTGTATATAAGTCCTACAATTAAGGATATAAAGAAGATGTGGCTGAGCTGGTTGGAGCATCATCCCATACATTAAAAGGCTACAGGTTCAACTCCCAGTCAGGGCACATACCTAGGCTGTGAGTTCAATCCCTGGTCAGGGTACATATAAAAGGCAACAGATCGATGTTTCTCTTACCTTAATATCTCTCCCTCTCTCTCTCTCTCTCTCTCTCTCTCTCTCTCTCTCTCTCTCTCTCTCTCTCTCTCCCCCCTCTTCCCTTCCTTCCCTCTAAAATCAATAGAAACATATCCTCAGGCAAGGAATACATATACATACATACATACATACATACATAATAAAATAAATAAAGCACATTAAGACTGGTAGGAAGGGTAGAGATTCTATATGGGCTAGTCCTATATCCACCTGTGGTAGATAAAAATTGAAAGGGATATCTTGGCTGCTGCAGAGGTCCCCCTGAGGAGCAAGGGGTCCCAGCCCGACACCAGACCCCCCAGCCAAGGGTTCCAGTGCAAGGAGGAGAAGTCCCCATAACCTCTGGCTATAAAGACCAGCAGGAATTGTGGCTGAGTGAGACTGAGGCTTCTGCAGTCCCTGGCATTCCTCTTAAAGAGCCCACACACAGACTTGCTCAGACTCACTGGTTCTGAGCTCCAGTGCTGGGGCAGCAGCTCAAAAGGCACCAGGGACAGACAGGGAGGAACTGAATTATCTGGCATTAGGGCAAAAGCTGCAGGGGCAGCTTCTCCCAGACAGAAGTGCTGGCAGAAGCCAATGATCTTTTGATGGGCCCTCCTCCAACACACTTCACATGCGGGCACCATATCTGAGACTCCAGCAACCTGGCTATCACTGCCCACCCAGCCCTAGTGATTCCCTGAGACCCTGCCCCACCCAACTTGTGGGCCCACCCAAAGTGTTTCCAGTGGCTTTTATAGAGGAACTCAAGAGTTAAAGATTTTAGCTGTAGTTATAGTTGGTAGACTTAAGCGATGGGTACATGTGGAAAGCCGTTTTTCCAGGAACTGGAATGTATAACCTACATGACTCCAGGAGGAGGACAAGCATCTCAACTTTTGTGCCCCAGGGAGTCTGCAAACAATCAAGATGGCATCTGAGTCACTGGCTTCCAGGGAGGGAGTGTCCAAGATGCAGATAAAGAATTGTTGATCAGCAGATAAAGAAATACTAAGAATATCACCCTTGAACTGTAACTCTTATCCAACTAACTTTTTTTTCCAAACCCCTTACCTATCCTTTTCTTCTCTTCTCTATAGAAAAAGGTCAGCTTGAAATGGAATGTTAAGATGGTTTTTAGGGTACATAACCCACCATCTTCTCAGATCCCTGGCATTTGAATAAAGCATCCATAAAGACATAATCCTTGTCTCTACTTATTGGTTCTTGTAGCGACAGACAGCATGAATGCTGACTTCTCTGGTGTCAGCTTTTCCACACAATGTCCTCTCTTGGTTCATGCTTTAGACTTGCCTAAAATTTCTTAAACAAGTAGCATCTGGCCTCACTGTGCCCTGTACTTCTCACTAAGTGGCCCCAGGCCTGACACTAGCAGCAGAAGACTTTAGTTCACAATTTGGCTTCTCCTGGCTACCTCCAAGCTCAGCACAAGTAGCAACCACCTGCAGGTTCCTTTGTATCTCTTTCCAGGTAGCCCTGGGAAGGGCACAGGTAGCCACTGACCTCGTACTGCACCTCCCAGGAGGTGCCAGAGCAAGCACACCTAGTGGACAGCTTCAAACTATACTGAAGTACCACCCAACCCCTTCACAAGCAACACATTCAAGGGGTAGATTCGGCATACACCAGAATCCTGCTAAAGTAAGTCCTGCTCCATGGGGTGGGCCCTGCACACCTGATCCTCCACAGTGGTCACAGACAGTCCTTGCAGTCAATTGACCTGGGGGTAAATCCCTCCCACTGACATGCCCACAGCAATCAAGGCTCAACTACAACAGGAAAATGTACACAGCCCACACAATGAAGGCACACCTGGAATGACCAGCTCAGGTGAACAGGAAGGCTGTGCTACTGAACCCTACAGGACACTTACTAGATTAAGTTACTTGACCAAGCTCAGGGGATATAGCAGCTCTACCCAATACATAGTAACAAACACAGGAAGGCTGCCAAAATGAGGAGACAAAGAAGCATGTCTCAAATGAAAGAACAGGATGAAACCTCTAAACAAAATGGAGACAAGCAATCTACTAGATGCAGAGTTCAAAATACTAGTGGTAAGGATGCTCAATGAACTTAAGAGAAGAGTAGATGAACTTAGTGAGAACTTCAACAAAGATATAGGAAACTGAAGTAGAAAACATAAAAAAGAACTACTCAGAAATGAAGGATACAGTAACTGAAATGAAGAAGAAGTTACAGGGAATCAACAGTGGAAAAGATGAAGCAGAGAATCAAATTAGAGATTTGGAAGTTAAGGAAACAGAAAACAACCAATCAGAACAGCAAAAAAAAATGAGGATAGTATAAGGAGCCTCTGGGACAACTTCAAACATACCAACATTCACATCATGAGGGTGCCAGAAGGAGAAGAGAGAGAGAGCAAGGAACTGAAAACTTATGTGAAAAAAATATTGATGGAAAACTTCCCTAACCCAGTAAAGGAAATAAACATACAGGTCTAGGAAGTGCACAGTCCCAAACAAGATGAACCCAAAGAGGCCACACCAAGACACATCATAATTAAAATGCCAAAGGTTAAAGAAAAAAAGAAAATCTTAGAAGCAGCTATTTCTCAACAGAAACTTGGAAAGTCAGGAGGAGCTGGCTGGCAAAATATTCAAGGTGGTAAAACACAAGGACCTACAGTCCTAGGTGGTGGCTCAGTTGGTTGAAGCATCACCTCATATACCAAATAGCTTGCAGGTTCAATTCCAAGTCAGGATACACTCCTAGGTTGCAAGTTTGGTCCATGGTTGGGGCACACACAAGAGGCAATCAATTGATGTTTCTCTCTCACATCAATGTCTCTCTCTCCCCACCCCCCTTTTTTTCTCCCCCTGCTCTCTCCCTCTCTCCTTTTCTCTTCCTCAGTCTCTTCCTCCTTTCCTCTCTCTCAAAAATCAATAAACATATCCTCAGGTGAGAATTAAAAAATAAAAGAGAAGAAAAGAAAGCACCTAAAATGAAGATTACTCTACCCAGCAAAGCTATCATGTAGAATTGAAGG